TCATGGCAAAGTGATAGACAGTGAGGGCATTCTGAAGTTCAAGCCTTGCCTTGTGATTCTAGCTAGTGAGCAGTGATAAAGTGTTAGACTCTAAATATTGTTACTTTACTACTATTAAAGATTTTGTTCAAATGCTATCTTAATTATGGCGGAGATATGTTCAGAGAAGATTTTTCAATTAAACCTGATTTTTTTTTCTCTTTGATTTTTAATCAGAGCTATAGCATCTCACCACTTAATCTGTGAATATATTAATTCACTTTCATATTCTCTCTCAAGTGCCATAGTGGTTCATTTCCTCTTACCTGTAGAAAATAACGTTATTTTTCATATATATGCGTTTACTGTGTAACAGATGCATAGAAACAATAGTTCAGAGAGCCTATGTTGCTTTCTCCATGTTCATAAAATTAGTGCCTATAAAAATGCAGTACGTCTGCATGAAATCTAGAACTCACCTGAGCTGGACATGTCATTTTCTCCGTGCTTTGTTTTATCTCTTAACAAGTGCCAAACAATGTTCCCTTCTTCAGAGATGTACTTGCTTGCCCAATGTGGTTATGAACACCATGAAAGTGTATTCCTGAGGTTTATTCTTCCTCTGTTTTTTCACTGCTTATTCCTGTGCTTCTTTTTATAAAATCTGTTCATGAAGTTGGACTGTACAAAATTTTCCCGCTTGCTTTATTTCAAGCAGTTCAGTTCCTCAGTGTCCACTGTTACGGATCCTAGGTCAAACATTTTACTTGCCACTGAGCTTTTGTCACTGAATATACATGCACTGAAAATAACACGTGTGGCAATTTCTTCTTGCTCTTCTTGTGAGCTGAAACATACTTGCAAAGGAAAGGCACCTGCTTTCTGATGCACGTGGTTACTGCTGCAGATACAATGCCTGTGTATAGTCTCAGAGGCAAATATGGTTTGTTTCTTTAAGGCTTATATGTTGAAGGCATTGTTGATGAACAATATAATGAAATGCAGCTTTATAAATACATACTTTTTTTATTTTTTTTTTCCTCTAAAAAGTAACGAAGTGAGGATTTTGAGCAATTGAATGTTAATCTAGTATTTAATTACACTTGCAGTTTTGCTTTCTTTATGTCTTGCTCCACAAGAGGGCAGTGAAGTCTAGGATAAAATACATCACCTGCTCCTAGCAAATCCACACTATGCTATTCTTCATGCAGCTATGTTCACCCCCCTACCCCATAATCTGGAAGCAATGTAACCTGTTTTTCCTCTTACTAGTGTGCGAGTTTCAGGAGATGGTAATTAAGAGAAAGAGCTTAGTAAATGGATTGCCATCTAAAGAAAAAGAGTGGCTAACAGTGCCAAAGAGTTTTATTAGAACTTAAAACAAAAACTAACAAAACTGTTGGTTTTATGCCTGCCTACGTTAGGAGTTAATCTACCTGAGTAAAATGGAGTAAGAAGCAATAACATAGGAGGAACTGATGTTGCGCTCTCAGTATGAGAGCAGAAGTGGACTGCTAAAATCCAAGCTCTGAAGGACTTTTCTTCTAATTCAAATTCTACTTAAGATTTACAGGATCATTAGATATTTAATTTGTTCCTGTGTCTGTTCTGGGTACTGTGTGAAAGCACTGTTCTGCCTTATCATAGCAGAATAATGATAACCAGGTTAATAATTTTATATTAGTGTTCAAGTGTCACTGCAAATCCAGCTAAGTATTTTTCTACTGAAATTATATTTATTTGAAAAAGTTATTGGTAGGTCCAATAAGGTCTGATTTAAGTAAGACAAATGCATGCCAAGGTAGTATTTAATTTACTCTATTACTTTACATTTCATTGCAGTTTGCAAGATGAATGTACATCGACGCTGTGAAACAAATGTGGCACCAAACTGTGGAGTGGATGCTAGAGGCATAGCTAAAGTTCTTGCAGATCTTGGAGTCACTCCAGATAAGATCACTAATAGTGGGCAGAGGAGGAAAAAGGTAATTCTACGATGTAGTGTCACATAAGAAATGAGATGAGTATGGCTGTATTGTAACTTTACTAGTTGGGGTTCAGTCCCACTCACTTGACTTGCACAAGAATTTTTTTTAACTCAGTACAGAACTAAGACTTTGGCTTTTGATTTATAAGTGCAAATCATCTATTCTGATTTTTGATATGAAATTTATTTTGACCTGCTACAGTTTTGCAAACCTGGAGTCTGTATAGTCTGGAAGGATTTTCCCTTTTTAATTTTGAGGAAGGAGATTTGACAGAGAGACAGTGCCTGACACAACAGTTCATAAAAACATAAATGTCTCTTTGGCTCAGAATTGGCATTGGATAATTGATTGATTGAGACAGCACTGGTCCATAACTTTGTAAATGCTGATAAATGAGCCAATGTGCTGACCCTCATGAAGAGGAGCTGTTTGCCAGATGATGGTTCCAGAGTTATCATCACTATTCTAGGAAGAACTAGGCTGTTCTAGAAATAAAGAGCATAGGTCACCTCAAGTACATCCAAAGCTGATGGAGTTATTCTGGATTTGTAGTATGTATCCTGGATCAGAATTTGGCCACATTTTCTATCTCTATTTGCATGATTGTGACAACAGACCCATTACTGTCACTTAGAGAAATAGGCAAATTTTACCATAATTTCTTAAAACATTGACATTTCGTTCTGTTCATTTTCCTGATTATTGCACACTTGGATCCCATGTACACTGTTTTAAAATGTTACAGAAACACAGAAAACCCAGGAATAAATTAATTGATCTGTGACTCCTGGGAAAAGATGTTGTCATGTTGTTACTGCATGAGTTAGTTTGCAGTGCTTGCTGATGCTTGTTGTAGTTAAATGTATTTACCGGATAGATTTCTACACAGGCTCAAGGTGGCTATTCAAAATTTTCCCACTCACTGGGTATGCTTATTATGTTTATTTCATCTTAAGGACCTATTTTTCTTTAAATTGCTCGTTCTCTCTTTGTTTGTATGATGGTCTCCATTTGGTGTGATGCCATCTACTGTATGGTTGAGGTCCTGTCAGTGAGTATCTATAGAGGTAGAACATCTTCACTTTCCTTCATCCTTCTACTCGCGAATTAATGTTGTTAAACTAAATTTCCTCTTGGCTCGGGAGAATCTCATGGCTGAGTACCCCTTTTGGAATTGTTCTTAGCTAATTGCAGGTGCAGAGACTCAACAACCAGTTCCCGGAAGCACATCATCAGAAGAAGACAGGTCAAAGTCAGCACCAACTTCTCCATGTGATCAAGGTCGAACATCTCTTTTTATTTCCTAACATGTATATTGTCACTTCCTTATGAGGAGTAAAAAAGCTATCGTCGCCAGTCTTTGTAGAACCAAATCAACAAACTAGTTACCACCAGAAAATGAAACACTTAGGAAAGTTATGAACTGCAAAAACTTTTTTTAAATGCCTACTTCTCATTTCATTTAAATCTGTGAAATTAAGTGGCTTTTAAAGGGAAAATTATAAAAATCATCTTAAAACATTGTTAAGTTCACTAGATGAGTCCTTGCCTAACTAAATACCTTTATATGAGGAGGTTATACATTGTAAGAGTAAGAACATTTTAAATAATACCACAGAACTTGAGAGCGCCTTTATCTGTCTGAAAAGCCACTAACTGTTAATAAGTTTTTGAGATAAAATTGCCTACTTGCAATTCCATGTTGAACGTTTGTGATGATTAAAACTTCTGTCCAGTTAGGCTATGCTAGCGTGCCTGTGTCGTCTCTAGAGGCTTCATAAAACTGTGTTTCCTTTCAGTGATCTTTTTCATACATCGATTTGGAGATAAATATTTTAATCCTCACTGATATGACCTGATGTCATTGAACTGAACAGTCTGATTGACAGAATGTGTATGTCAGCAGCACTTTTTGAATCTGATCTGATTGCAGTTTTTGAAAATCAGAAGTCTGTGAGGTATCTTATGTACCATCATGTGTGTAAACTGATGAATGAAAAATCTTTACACCAGGAAATAAGAAGACAGATACTTTTGTGTCAAATTCTTTGAAAATTATTTACAGTTGAGAAATTTCTCACTCTTATTTTTAGGGAAGAGACTTCCAAAGCTCCATGGTAATAAGTACTGTAAGAGTCTGAGTCCAGAACTGATTTAAATTTGTCAACCTTTTTGTTTCACAGGCAGCATTTTGGTTAAATATTATTCTTTAAATGTCTGATGTTTTGCTTAAAATAAGAACAAAGGATTTGCCTAAATTCTCTCTTAAATTTCGCTTTTGTAGCTGTCCAGTAAAGTTATTGCTTCCAGTAAAGTTATTGCTTCCAAGGCCATCAGGCAGAAGTGCTATGCAAGAGCTTGAGGCAGACCCTGAGGTCCATTAGTCACCAGGACTCACTGTGTGTAGCATTGAGAAACCTTCAGAACCATTTAGCAGATCTACACAATTGCCACTTGAAGTGGCGCTAGGAAGTGGTCAAATACTTTATTGGCAGGCATCTGATAACAGCTGGAACTGAGTAAGGTGCTCCATTCATGTTGACTTCAAGGACTGGGACGCCCAACTATCCTTTGAACTTTTGAAGATACAACTCTAAAATACTGAAGCAGGAAGATGAGTAAGTGCTGCAGGAAGATAGGGGTATTCAAAACAAAGTACTTCTCTGTGGTACAGGAACACCCAAAATCACTAAAACAACTATTTGGCCACTATTCTGACTCATCCGTCAAGTTTTGGATATGTCATTCTCTTAAGTTCATTTTAAAAGGCCACCCTTCCTGTTAGAGCAGGATTTCAGCTGATTACTGTAAGGTGGAGAAGCAGTTTGCTAAATATGTGTTCTTAACCACAGAATGCTCTACACAGCATTCAGGGATGATGAATGTCCCTTCCCAAAACTGATACAGACTAACACAGGCTGTTTTTGTCATGTTTGATTAAAACGAACACATTTTCTCACATTTCCACAGAAATCAAAGAGCTGGAAAACAACATTAGGAAAGCGTTGTCATTTGACAATCGGGGAGAGGAACACAGGGCAACAGCTACAACGTCAACAGACAACCAGCTTAACAAAGCTGGGGAGAATGGTGAAAATGGGGAGGTCAAACAGGCCCAGACCAAGCGAATAGGCCTTGAAGAGTTCAACTTCATCAAAGTATTAGGGAAAGGCAGCTTTGGCAAGGTAGGTAGCTTCCCGCACCCCCCGCCCCCCCTCCCCCGATGTTGCAGGCTTTTTTTGACTGCACTGCTTTGAAAGTATTCATGGTGACATTCAGAAGGTCCTTCCACCCCAGGGGTTTCCTTCCATTCTTCACCCATTGGGTAAAAGCAGCTTTTACCCCACAGATCAGAAATATCAGCCTCCTGATCAGATGGCATTTTCTGTGCTTTAGCTCACTTTATTAACTATAGTCAGGCCTTTTGAAACACAGTGTCAGTGGTTCACTATTTCAGGATATTGGTAATGAAGACATACATACTGTTCAACATGATAATTAGTGGTAGTCAAGCAGGACAAATCTGCCCAGGAATAATGCTGTGGAGTTCTGCGTTCATTCCTTTCTAGATAATACCCAGTTCAAGTTTACTTATTTCACAGAACAGTTTGTGTGCTTGTTTTTCCTCAGTGGGTGTGTCTAGTGCTGGAGGAAGCAGAATTCAAGCATTTCCACTCAGATACGACTAATGCAAGAGGCTTAGAGAGCTGCCCAAAATACCATGTATGCGGCAAAGATGTAACTCACCAGATACCTTCCCACAGTAGGGAATTGATGAGGGTGGAAGGGGCATTGCTCTGTTTACAGGGCTTACAGATTTTTCTTTTCACAGTGCTGTGCACTGTGGAATCAAAGAGGAGGAGGAGGACTGAAATGTGAATCTGTTTCACAAGTACACTCTTCCTTCCTTGATATACGGGAACTGCAGATGCAGAGGGACAGGGCTGAAGCAGTTCTTTTGTCTCCCTGTTTTCTAATCCTTTCTCTGAAGATTACCCTGGCTCCAAGCCAGAACTGAACTTAAACGGAGTATAGGGATTGAACCTGAAACAATAGTAGTAGTTAAAATCAACAACTTTAAAGTGGCCAGAACGGTACGTGAGATTGTATACTAAGTTCATCACACACAAATCTCACTACCAAAAGTGGGAGATAAGAGTGGGAAATAAATTTCTGTTCTATATCAACTTCCTTCCTTTTTTAGTTTTTGAGATCTCATTGAAAGGCACTCAAGGTATTTGAATGAGCAGATAAAAATTCTTTATCTTCTGTCTTCTTAACTAACAAACAAAACAGATATCATGTTTCAAATTTAAAGAATACCAGAGGTATCTTTTTCTAAAATTACATTACTTTTAATTTTATAAACATACAACTTCATTCAGGCAAGTATGTAACTGTGTTTATATTCCCAGTGCAGTTAAACTTATATGCAACCCTGCATTTATGGTATCTGTTGTTCATATGTAAACAGAATTTCTGTTTGTTTTAGGTAATGTTAGCTGAGCTAAAAGGAAAAGATGAAGTATACGCAGTGAAAGTCTTGAAGAAAGATGTCATACTTCAAGATGACGATGTAGACTGTACAATGACAGAAAAGAGAATTCTGGCATTGGCACGGAAACATCCATACCTAACACAACTTTACTGCTGCTTCCAGACGAAGGTAAGCTACGTGAACCTTTTACCAGTTTGTGCCCTAGGAACAATATTCACTATTTCTAGACTAAAAGACAACAATGTAAAAAGTACAGCAATATTTCAAAAATATTTCTGAGAAGTTTTTGGCATTTCAGCATTTCAGTAGTATTGAACCAGGAGTACTGGCTGCTGTTAAATAGCATAAATACTATTACCTTGTAAGTACCAGGAGATGGCAGTAAATGAGTTAAAAAACAAAAAAAAACCCCACATGCATAAAACACAAAAAAACTGAGGTGCCATTTTCTGGGTTTCTTCTGTACATTAATATGGTGTATCATTTATTGAATTAAGTATAAATGTTTTTAACATCCAGTATTCAGAGTAAAATTTCTAAAATGATCTTGTCAGAAATGAGATTATGGTAGAACACTCATCTTTTCAGTTTTCTTGTGCTGTGTAGTATACAAAATGTTCAAAAGAGAAAGGAAATACGTATGCTGCTTATCAAGTAAGTTCCTATGGTGCTAACGCCTCCCATGTGCTTGAGGAGCAGGGAGAAGGAAAGGCAGAGAGCGCCGATAATGAGAGCCTGTTCCTGTGGCGTGTTCCTTGTTGGTAATTTTTCATACAGAATTCCTCTTCATAGCACATGTTTTGGATTTGCTGCTTAAATGTAAGTGAACGTTTGGATGGTTTAGCTGACTCTCTAGGATTTCTGAATCCAGTCAGTCTAAGTGCTTGAAACCAGTTGTGTTCACAGAATTTTTCTGGTTTTCATTTTTTAGTCCCTTATTTCTTTCTTGCCATTCAACTGAGCTGGCAATTTTTTACCTGATTGTCCAGAAAGCTTTATGGAGGGAAAAAAAACCCACAAGGTGAATCAGTCTTGCAGATAGAATACCAATCATATATAATTGAATTTACAGAAGCACCCATTATTTTTGAAGTGCCTGATAAAGTGTTTACTATTTCAAAGCACTAAGGTTTGAACTTTTGCCTGTTGAACTAAACAAGCCATTCATTTAAATGGGATGAGTTTTTGACTTGTAGGGAATAAGTTTAGACGTTAGTATATATGTATGTTTTAAATAAAACACTTGAAAATCAATCAACTTCCTTCAAACTTTGTTTTGTTTTGGGTTTTCTTTTTTCCTTTCAGTAAGATACTACATTAGAGTATTTGAGTCAATTTAGTGGAAAAGTTTGGCAGGTTAAATGAATAAATTACCACATTGAACGAAATTAAGAGTTACTAATGGTATGTATGAGTGTATGTATGTGTATGTATAAATACCTACATATTCACATATTTTAACCAAAAATATGTATGGCACTGTTATGGTTTAACCTGGCAGGCAGCTAAACCCCACACAGCCGTTCGCTCGCTCTCCCCTGAAGTGGGATGGGGGAGAGAATTGGGGGGAAAAAAAAGTAAAATTTTTGGCTTGAGATAAAGACAGTTTACTAGGACAGAAAAGGAAGGGAAAATAGTAGTAATAATAATAATAATAATGATAAAAGAATATACAAAATAAGTGATGCGTAATGCAGTTGCTCACCACCCACTGACCAATGTCCAGCCAGTTCCCGGGCAGCGGTCACTGCCTCCCGGCCAGCTCCCCCCCCGCCCCGTTTATGTACTGAGCATGACGTCCCATGGTATGGAATATCCCTTTGGCCAGTTTGGGTCAGCTGTCCTGGCTGTGCCCCCTCCCAGCTTCTCGCTGGCAGAGCATGGGAAGCTGAGAAGTCCTTGACTAGTGTAAGCACTGCTTAGCAACAACTAAAACATCAGTGTGTTATCAACATTATTCACATCCTAAATCCAAACCACAGCACTGTACTAGCTACTAGGAAGAAAATTAACTTTATCCCAGCTGAAACCAGGACAAGCACAAATGAGCAATTGCAGTAATTATATGTGTAGAATTACAGAAAAGCTGTGACTAAAAGATCTTCCAGCAAAGTTGTCAGGAAAGATAAACTGGGCAGTGGGAAAGCCATAGGAAAATGGCTAGTAGGATCAAGATTATAGTGTGTTCAAATATGCAAATAGCGAATGTTTAACATGTTTATACAGTTCTTAAAATAGTGGAAATGTATTAGCGTTTTATATGCTTTGAAATTGACACAAAAAAATAGCCCAGGAAGGTGTGTATACAATCTATTTCTATGGAGGATGTTTTATGTGTTCAGACTTTCATTTCATTTGAATATATGTGTTAACATACTCTTTAAATGTTTTCATGTATTATTTTAATATCTATAACTAGAATTGAGCATATTATTTCAGATGAAGAAAGTGATAAAAATATTGTACTGGGGTGAGCGATAAACTCTGTGAACAGAGAGGGACCTTCAGGACTAAGGCAGACCGCGCTCCCTGAAGTGTAAATAAATGTATCACCAGCCTGATGTGAATCATGTGGCAGAATATTGGTAAAGATCAGTTTTACGTTAAGTGAATTATGGCAGAAGGTTCTCCTGCTACTTCTCTGGTTTCCTGGAGATTTCTTTTCTTTTTGTATTTCTCATCCATTCTCCCCTCTTCTGTATCGTGCTTTCTGCCTTCCTCCCTGCTCTCCAAAGCCATTCATCAAAGTAAGATACTCAGAAATTCTTCTCACCATCTTCTTTCTTCCCAGATCTCTTCACCAGAGAGAGACTATAGTTTATGGCTTTGCTTGAACTCAGAGGAACTGATAGTTATGTGATTTATAGTTGGAAGTCATAGGCTAGTGACTCTTACCAAACAATCAAAACTATACCTAGTGATACCCAATCAAATTAAAAGTCCACAGTTGAAAAAATGAAGGGGTTTTTTGAGCATGGCCGATGAACAATTTGCGAAGAACCCTTTATAAAGAAACAAAAAACCAAAACATATGTAAAAGCAAAAGCAATACATCTGCTAAAGCTATAAATTATTTATGAATGACAACAAATGAAAATGTACCAAGTAAATTAGTCACTGAATGATTTGCTCAGGTTCAGTGGAAAAACAGGTAGAAAAGCTTGCTCGAACAAACATGGTCTGTGGTTAAAATAGCTTTACTGAGACAAAGGCTGTACTACGATGAGTTTAAAATGTGTTTAACAGTAGTGTCTAGTTACTTACACTGCAATTGTATGCCGTGCCATGGCTGCTGTACTTTGCAGAACTGGTCCCTGAAGTGATCATGCTGGAATTAAATTTTGCGTTTCAAGTAGAGCGTATTTGTCGTATACACCCTGACTTAATGGGAAGATTGACTCAGTATTCATTGTCAAAGCACTCAGAGATTGACTTTATGTAATGAGATTACTTGCTTTGTTCCTCTTCCACAAAAATGTGAATGTATGAGTTTGACTTCATATATTGCAGTGTTTTCCTTCAGTAATAAGGTGAAAACACTGCAGAAAAGTTGCCTAATAAGCTTTTTACAGTAAGTATGCTTCAGTATTCTTTGTTTTTTACATGAGGCAGACTTTTCATTAGTATTATTTACTAAATGATACTAATATTATCACAACAACTAAGGGATCATATTTAAAATTATCTTGGAATTCAGAAATCATGCCAAATGATGGCTAATAACAGCATACTTTATACACTAATGTGTTTTTAGCCCTACATATGTGAATTTACTTTTAGCAGTCCCATCTAGCTTCCTTATTTTAAAGGAATAATCTTGGGACTGGTATTTCTTATGTTCCTTCTTAATCCAAAAGCTAACTTCGATCAAACCAGTTTGCTTTAAGCTGATAAAAAAAGGACCCGCCCAAAAAATCAACATTCTATATTAAAATTATATATATTCAAATATTGTATTGCAGGGATTGTTTTGCGGTCTTCTGCAGTGACCTGGAGGTCAAGAGAGCTGGGTTCTATTCCAAAGCTTGGGATAAAGTGTGTGAAGCTGATGTATGATGTTTTGTCTGCAATAGTTTGAGGTATGAACTCAGCAACCCAGTCCGACACATTAGAAAGAATGTAAAATCTACTGGCAGGAGCTCAGCTGATGCATGTTTTTACATGGAAGGAGCTCATGAGATTTTAGTGTAGCATATCTTATAAAACCGTGTCACAGTTGGATAGTATTTTTCAACACTTCTATACCATGGCAGCATTTCCCTTCTTGTTTTGCCGAAATATGGTCAATGCATCTGTCAATGTACTCAGAGGTTTGATTTCTGTTTTGCTTGTGATCTGTCAGCTGGGATATAAATGAAGAATACTGCATTCTGTATTCAGCACTCCCATAGCAAAACTTGCCCAAGGCCTAGCATACAGGGTACAGCATTTTTGTAATAACTGACCTTTGCTTATCATCATCTTTGATTTATTCAAGACTTCATTGTGTCCTTTATTGAGAAAATGTCGGGGGGGTTCAGGACTACTACTGTTTACATTCTTTTTTCACTCTTCCTCCTATCTTCTCTTTCTCTTCTTCTATGTGCTGGTTCCTTGTGTTTTTAGTAAGGATTATTGTACCTGACAATAGTGCTGATGCTGCCCAACTCCCCTCTCCGGTGTCCTCTTCACTCTGACCTCATACCATGCTTCGGTGATCAACTATGGAACAGTATCAACATTAGGTTTCATTGATAATGCTTCAGTCAGGTGGCTGGCAAAGGGGGGTTAAGTATTTCTAGAGCTATTTTCTCTGAAGGCATTCTTGTATTTGTGATATTTCATTCACAGTTGGAAGTTTCAGAACTGTGAAAATTAAAGTCTTTTAATGGAAAGTTGAGATTCTACAAAATAAAGGTATAACTAGCTTCACTTTATTCTTCCTACACCCCTATCAACCTTCTTCATAGTACTTAAAATTTTCTAGACCTCTACCCTATGAGATGCATACACATATATGTGCACACCATATAATTTATAATGAATTATCCTAATGAATACTTTAGAAATAAAATGTTTTTAAAGTTATCTAAGACAGTGAAAGCTTTATTGCGGTAATTCATTATAAATTTAGAAGACTAGAGAGCTACTGCTTTTAACATCTACCATTTGCTTTTTTATCCAACTTCATGAAATTAGATAAACTTGGAACTAGTGCTCTCCTGCTCTTTTCAGAGTACTGTCTTCAACAAAATTGCTTTGTACACAGACACAGGAGCGAGTACTATTAGTACAGAGCAATGTTTCGGTTGAATGACAGCGTTGCAGTAAAGGACCCGTAGTCAGCATTATAGCTATTTCTATTAGAAAAAGCAAGTCATTAAATAAAGGATAGAGACAGTCAGAAAGTCAGTGACTACAGGAAAATAGTTAGACTTATGCCACCCATAAAAGTGGGGGTTTTTTTCCTTACAATTGTCTGCATGTTAAAAGCAGCGTATCTATTCATAGCATAGCTCCTGAGCTGACCTGCAAGACCATTCACTTCTTTCCTGTGTTCTGGTGTTGTAAGGTAGAGATTAGCCACATGACAGTGGCAGAACTGAAGGACATCTAGGAGTAGGCTGTAGTGACCCTGTTACGACTATGTTGATCCCTTAGCTGTTATGTTCTACCTAGTGCCTTACTACTGATTTATCCTAGATTGCGAGTACTGTGCTTCAGGTACTATTCCTTTCTGTGCATTTGCACTGTATCTAGCACACTCTGGGTAATGCTAGAA